GTTTGTAAATTATAATATAATTCCAATTTTATTCCTAAAAATCATCTATAATCGTCCATGTGGGATGGCAAAAGCAGCAAAAAAAAAAGACGATCGTCCAGATGGGTACCGTCCAGGTAAGTGGGATGACACCGGTTTAGTAATCGTGAAAACATGAGGAAATTTAATGTGTTGAACTACATCCAGTATTTATAAAACACCTTCATAAACTGAAATAAAATATTGGATTTGTTGAAGTCTAACCCTTGTGTTGGGGGCCCCGCCTCTGAGTGCGTGTGTGTGAACCTCCCTGCGTGTGTGACAGTTTGACTGACAGTATACCACCACAAAGGTTACGTCATATCCTGTAAATATTTTAAACTCAAGAATGACGTCATCTTCAGCGTAATATATTATCCTATGTTTGTAATAAACTCATCTTAATATGTAAATCATTATACTAAAGAATTTTAATGTGTGTGTTACTTGTTATTAATCAGATAACTCTTCGTACTAGTGAGAAAGTCAACTAATATTTACACCTGCATACTGGACAACGTATGTGCAACAAGTCAACATACAACAGAACTGGCTCATTTATCTCAAAATATTATATCATTTCTGATTATAACAGTGAGACACAGATGATATTTTTTTTACGGAATACATTTTAAACGCTGCTAAAATTATCTCCATGTACTGTTAACCATTGTACTGAGACCACGGGTGGCAGCAGCGTATCTAATCCACAATAATTCACAAAGATCTAGCTAGGGCTGGACGCTGGTGCACCCATATGATTCAATGAACACAGCCTGGTGTGTACATCAATAGGCGCCAGTTACTATCTTACGTGTACAATATAGACGTTACTATTCTGAACCCAAGTTAAAAATGCATAACGAGGAAGTGAACTTTGGTAAGGACAAGTAGTGACGAGATGGGTGGAACAAAAGCGGGAGATGTTGCCTGGTACAGCAGTCGGTCAGGATGTGTGGGGCGGATGTAGGATAAGTAAGAAGTGAAAAAGGATGTCTCAAAGGAGTGAAGAAAGGAAGGAAGGAGAAGGGAGGGAAGAAGAGTGGCGGTAGTTGACAGGTATTGGAGGAAGATTACTGGAAGTGAAGGGAGGCGGAAGAGAGTGAGGAGAAAGGGGAAGACAAAGCTGATGGAAGAAGTGGAGGTGCAAGTAGCCAAGCCCGGGTAGGCGAATGACCACAGACTGCCCAGACGGGAGCCGGCTAGTGTGTGTGTTAGGGAGGTGGCAGGGTGCAGCTCTGTCGTGTCATCTCCCATCTATGTGTTTATTTTCAAATAAAAACTTGTGAATTGTTATAAATGATAAGTGTATACGTTATCCTGCAGACCTATCCTAAAGTACCGGGTAACCAGTGCGGGTCAATATACCAGTAAAAATATTTTGGTCATTATGAGTACAATAATCATAACTTACAATATATTATTTAACACCACGGTAGACACAGTCATCACCCACCTCCCCCAATATGGTGACATGGGTCTTCGTGCCGTAGGTGGGGCGTATGTAAGCAGCAACCCAAGAACAGTAATATACACACTAGACACCCCATCCCGTCCTGGTTCAAGGATGCAAACACGTGTTGGAACGCAGCGCCTGCCCGGCCGTCTGGACAGTGACGAGTATAACCCCCAGTATTAGGTATCGAGCATACTCACCCTGTGCCCTGGCTCCTCCGCTTACATCCTCTGCGTGGCATGTCTTGAAGTTTATCCCTGTTTCGTGTAGTTGTGAAAGTCACTGCAAGGAGTCCCATTTCCCTGGTAAAAAAGATTGAGAATTTTTAGAAGGTATCACCCTGAGGGCTGTACAAAAATTATAAGCAGACGACGAAACTATGATAGTAATAATCATAATAATGATAACAATATTAATAATGTGATATATGTACCAGTGTTCAGTAAACTAAAATCCTATACAGTAAACTTAGGAATTTCTGATATACTAAGTTTGTACAGGTACAAGGTGTGTCTTAAAGCACATTTCTCACAATCTTATGAATTAAAAAAAATAGCATATGGTAATTTTATAGTAACGTTATAAGCCTACCAGTACACATGAGAATCATTTAGTGTTAAATTGTGGAGTCTGATGTGTAACCACGCTGGCACACCAAACCTGATCAGCTGAGCAGGCAGAGCGGGCGGTATCATACTACCCCCCTCCCTCTCTACCACATCTCACCACCCAGGTTTACCTCACCATCACAACAGAAACTCCCGCTTACGAACCTAACCCAACCCAACTTCTAAAGTACTAGCAAATAACGGGCGTCATATTTCTAAGAGATGAAACTTAATTTTTCAGACTCAATAATATTTACTGGCTACAACCAAACTCCACTGCTCTGCCCGGTCCGGCCTATAAAATATTCACTACCAAACATGACCTGGGTACACTATGGCAATAAAAATGACATTCATTGAGCGAGTGTGTTTGACCAGAGAAGAAAAAAACACACGAAAACTTGCGAATATTGTCAGAATACATATAAATCCGTGACAAATTCAGAACATTTTGTTCAATATCTCCATGGTGTATTAACCTCGTTTATAAGACCTGCTGTGGCAGAGATACTGATACAGAAATCTTTATGAAGTTTTTTATAAGGATATGTCATCGTAGAGTTCTAGCTTACAAATGTTGGTATTTTTAACAAGCTCTCACTTTCTACCCATATATGACTACTGAGAGAGAGAGGAGAGGTGGTGGTGGTAGGTGGATGATTGTAACAGATGGTGGTAGCCTGTAGTACACCACCACACTGTGAGACTCAGTTCTTCCTGTGTTGTTGTGTTGCTTTTGCGTTATTCCTCAACTCATATGGGGATGGTACAAAAGACCATTACAACTGAGCTATTTACTCATTATTAGTGAAGTAGTAAACTTTTTTTCGTTTTCTTTCATGCATGCATTTTGACAAGAATTCTTTAACTACTGTATATGGTCTAGTGGTATTTTTTTCAACTAATCTTTTCTTTTTTGTTTCTCTTTGAGTCCTTCCATTTAACCAAAGTCTAATTTTTATCCCTCCAGCCCTTGCGTACATCATTCGTAGCTTAATATCACCTTCACTGAACATAAACTGTCCCACCAGTTCATATTATGTAACTTAATGTTCCCAGCACTACTACACCCCCACACAGCGCAAGCTCTTACAGGGATATATTTTATATTACCTAATCTATCTCCTCGAATACTTATCATGTGACAACCATTACTAGTGGCCTATCCTCCACTCGTGCACATAATAAATTAACCTCAACCACGAAGTACTGATAACCTAACGTAACCTTATCCACCAGTGCACATAACCTAACGTAATCTTATCCACCAGTGCACATACCTAACGTGACCTTATCCACCAGTGCACATAACCTAACGTGACCTTATCCACCAGTGCACATAACCTAACGTAACCTTATCCACCAGTGCACATAACCTAACATAACCTTATCCACCAGTGCACATAACCTAACGTAACCTTATCCACCAGTGCACATAACCTAACGTAACCTTATCCACCAGTGCACATAACCTAACGTAACCTTATCCACCAGTGCACATAACCTAACAACCTTATTCACCAGTGCACATAACCTAACGTAACCTTATCCACCAGTGCACATAACCTAACGTAACCTTATCCACCAGTGCACATAACCTACCCTCTTCCACAAAAGAACTCGAGCACGTCCCACTTAAGGTACTACATAAACCAGCCCTCAAATGATTGGCCCTTGTTCCCCCATAGGCGCTCTCAGGGCAATTCCACCTTTATAGCCTAGTTGCAGAATGTCGTCAGGGCCAAGTGACCCGCATGCCACTGTGAATCTTATGGATTTAGAGGGAGTCTCATTGCATTATGGCTCTTGAGTCTGGGGGCAAGAGAGCATCGTCTGAGATGGTGTGGCCCCCACATGAATACGGAGTGAGGATTAAGGGCTACGATGGGGCCTAACAAAGAGAGATTAGACTTGTGATGGTGCGTCAAAAGCCCGTTGCCCAGTCATCGTATATTGTCTGATTGGTTGATGATTGGAGGCTTCCTTTCCGTATGTGTCCTTTCTCCTTTGCTCTTGTCTCTCCCAGGTAACTCATCAAACATTTTATGCAATATCTCGAGCGATGATCTCCATTAACAAACACACACAAGTACAATGAGATACAAACAATAAGAACACCAAATCAATAAGAACACCAAATCATCCCATCACAGACACGGACAAACGGCTTAAAAAAAAAAAACCTAAGTCCCAAAAGAATTAAGCCATAATTTTAAATAATTAACCCATAGTACTCTAAACGTTAACCTATCGTCTTCAATAGTTAAATCATCGTCCTCAAAGAATTTATGTCGGGAGCAACCAGTGTCCCATGTGAAACTTACAATAAGAGTTTGATTCACTTACAGTTGTGGAGAAAAGAAGTGATTACAGTTGCTTTCAATATGGTTGTGCAATTCTGTGGTAATATTAATTCTTTTGAGTTGGCGTATGTATATACAGTATACAGCACATACAGTACTACATTTTATCCTCTTCATCTGTTATGCCCTCATTGCTGTACTATAAGTGCATTACAGAAAGAATTTTAAGAAAGTTAAGTGAGTGCATTGTTTTCACACAACAGCTTTCTTGTTTTGTATACTGTACATTTACTTTATTTATTGGTAATTTTTAGGGATCACCTGCAGATTTTCTCCCAACTTATTTCACTTATAAATTTTAACCACCTTAACACTTACTTAACTTCATCCCCCAAATACTGTACAGTAGTGTTAACGTGGTTAATCTTCAGATAAAATAAGCTGGGGGAGAATTTTAAGTTGATCCATTGTTAATTATAATTACATAGTATGCAAATTCCTATGTATTATTACTATTATTATTATTATTATTATTATTATTATTATTATTATTATTATTATTAATAATAATATATTACCTGTATTATTATTAATATTAGTGCCTTTTTTTTCCAGACCAGACCCAAAGAAGCACAGAACTGAGTTTGACATTTACCCTGATCTGGGTGTCCCACTACGAGTCAAACTCCGTATGCAGATGAATGTGATGCTGGACAGCAATCAAGCTCTCGAACGTGCCCGACACTTCGACGTGGTTCTACCCATATTTTGGTTTGAAGTTGGGGTTGATTCCCTTCCTGGGGAAGTAGTGGGCTTGCTGAAACTGGCCCAGAACCTGCCTCCAGTGGTGAAAACAACTAGTGTTACCCTGTGTACTGCACTTACACTCATCTTCTTGATACTGCTTCTGGCCCAGACGGTGGCTGCATGGTGTGGCTGGGGGTCAGCCGGGGCACGGAAACGTCCACATACCCCCGATGACCTTCCTCACCATACCCACTATCGCCCCTCTCCTCCCTTATGGGAATATGATGAATTACAGAAACCCCCTAGACGAGGTGACTCGATTGCTTCTTCATCGAGTTACAAGGACTCTCTCACTCCAACCCTTCCCCATCGTGGTGTTGACATTCCCATCATAGATGACCACACTTTGCTTCCTCCTTATCGTCGTACCCACAACCAGGACATTCCTGATTCTATACCACACCTAGAATGTGAAGTGAATGAGAGTATTGACGCTGATCAAGTACCTCCTCCCTACAGTCCTGGGCCACCGCTTCGCACACCATCTACAGTTTCAGTGGAAATTCATATTACAGCCTCTGATGACGAACTGCCAGATCTGCCCCTTGATCTTCCAATAAAAAACAGCATTCCTTTAGAGGAGTGTCCACCTGACTATGAACAGGAAACTCAGCTCTCTCCCGATGAGGAGGAGGATGATGAGAAAGAGGAGCCAGATAGAGTAACTCCAACCACACCACCACCCCTCCCTGGAGAGCATATTGTAGCTCCACTAGCACGAGGAGAAGATACCTTAGATTTGGAGGGGAATTCTGAATCCTCCCATCCACCCCCACCACCTGATGATCCACCTGCATATTCAGAATCACCAACAGACCCTGGCAAGTCTCCTTCTCCCAAAACTACTGCCCCACTAGCCACCTCAAGTCCCCAAGGATCAGATGGTAGCAACAATACCAGTCACAGTAAATTACCTCCACCACTGGAATCAGATTTATGAGGCGATGTCACTTTTAATGATGAACTTCTAATTTCTGAGTGGTTTCCTTTATTATAGTTTGACATTTTTTTAAAGGAAAAGTAAGATTCTCACAAACACTAGTGAAAGTTATTGTGCAAATGATGACAAGTACTATTATATTTTAGTACAGTTTTTGTTTTAATGCTGTGATTTGACAACATGACAAGTGTCTGTTGTAACTTTTTTCCTCTATTTTTTTTCTCAGTGTTAACCATCTGCTCACAAAGTCTCCATGCTGTAGTGTTAACAGTGAACTTGGGTCACAAATTATTCCAACCCTTTGGGTTTTGTGTAAACTGAAGCAAGATTTTTTTTCTCAAAATTGAGACCTACTGTAGTTGTGGGATTATTTGTTAATAATAAGGAAACTAATTACACTGGGTTTGCAATCGTTTTGAATGGAATCAGAATTTTATTTTGGGTGAGGAATTAGGAATTTATCTGATAAGGACTTCCTATTCATAAATGGTAACGTAATTACACCCAGTTCTTTAACATTCAAAAGATTCATGTGGAACATGTACAGTACTGAAGTTGGTACTTTTAAAAAATATCCACAAAGATCTCTAGTTTTTTGTATTATAAGAATTGAATGTTCTTATGTTTTGTGACCATCATAGGTTGTGCACTGGCACTCAGTTTACACAGGAAAGTTTGGATCTGTGCACTTAGCGATTTTCATATTCATTTAATTTAACAGACTGAATTTGATAACTGGATGAGTTAGGGTTTTTATCACTTAATCTTTAGGCTTAAGCCTTCACTGAGGTATTTATGTGCAGATTAAGAATTAAGACTTCTCATTGTTCACACATCATGTTTAGGATTTTCTCAACCATATCATGATTGTTTATGGAATGTATTTGTTCTCCATGTGCTATGGTAACATTTTAAGTTTAATGTACAGGTATTTAACTGTATTTATTAATGCATAATGTTATATACAGTACAGTACTGGGAGTTTAATCATAGGGTCCTTTGATACCCAGTCACATGTCTTTCATCTTATAATTACTGTACTGTACAGATACATTACTTATAGTTGATGTGTATCTGTTGCCTGGCTCACTAGTGACTTTTTGTTTTGTGATACTCGGTTATGTGAGCTCTATAGAACCCCAGTTATGAGTAACTCTGGCAAGTGTGGGAAATGACTGTAAAACAGTGATGGTGACGAAGATGTCACATTACAGTATTGGATGGCCATACATAATCATTACTGCAGCTTGTCTCAACCACAGAGTACTGAACCATTTTCAATTGTAGCAACAAAACTTTAAACTTGCCTGCAGCAAATACTGTACAGATACTGCACTGTGCTTTATGTCATTGACTTGTTTGCTCAGTATGAGGATATCAAACCTAACAGACCTAAATAGCAAGGGTATCATATACTGTACTTGTACTGCCATTATTTATTTTTGTGGTGAATGTATTCTCATCCTTGCAATGTGTTTAAGTAGTATGTCTGAAGTCAGTTGTACAAGTATTTCAAATCCTTTCCTCATTGTGGAGATAAGGACAGCTTTCTAGATCCACATTCAATTCACTGCTGAGAAAATGTTTTATATACTTCTGTGGCCACTTGTATGACTGAAATGAATGGAGTTATCACTTATCATGAATCTTTTACAGTATGTAGATGGTTGTAGATTTTAATTTTGAAATTCAGTTCAAATGTAGAATGCTTGCAATACTATGAATATCGTATGAATTTGTATCTGCCAAAATAGGTTAAATTGTATTTTATGTATGTAAGGTGTTTTACAGTATCCAAGTGTACTAGCAGTATTAATTATCCTTCATAATGAAGGATTTGGGAAATTTTAGGGAATATCATTCATGTGAATGTTACTTTAATAAAAAAAAATTCTTATTAAACCCACATGAAACATGTTCTGCCAAGTACAAGGTTAAGCTGGCTACAACAATTTATTTTGTACAGTAGGTGTTTTTATTTGTATGGTGTTTTTAATGGCATTGTGTAACATTTTACTGAAAAGAATCTTCAGTCATATTTTGCAAATGATTCCTTATAAACAGTGCTTAACTGTGCCTCAGCTTTCACACATGTACTTGCTTTCAGCAGCATTTTATGCAATATTTTTCTGAGAAGTCTCTTGTTAGTCTTGATTATAGATTGGTTTTATCCAGGGAGAGACATTACTTCATTAAATCAGATGCTAATTTAGTTGTTATTAAAAACAAAAGCAATACTGAAATTGCAGTAAAAGTCCATGAAATTTGAAAAATTCAGCATCCAAATAGTGCAGAAAAACGCCAATTTACTCCAGTATTTATCTTTGAATCTAGCAGTCATTACTTCAATATTATCACTGATAGGAGATTTTTCTTGAACAATATGATTTAAGGTTCAACCAAGGAATACATATCACAAGATTTTGCTGCACATACAGTATTTACCTTGAGCAATATTCTGGATTATACTGTATCTTTTTTGTTCACACAGGTACTATACTTTGAATGAATAAAATGTGCCTTTGTCCCAAATATTCATCATAAGAATGACTGTAAGATATATTTTTGATAACTGGTTTACTGTGCAACAAAACCATTTTGTTCATGCAAATAAAGTAAACTTTGCTCATTGTGTTTTATCACCATTCCACAGCACTGGCATCCATGATATAAATACTATTTTAGTCCTTTTAGTACCTGTACTGTACTGTAATGGTACTGTAATTCATCAAGCTTCTATGGGTATACAGTACTGTTCACACATGGAAAAGTATTGTAATGTTGCAGCTAATGACCAGTGTGAGGGGAACACTAAAGGAATGGTGAAATCAACTCATACAGGTACTGTATCTTTAAATCTCGATGTAAGTCATTTATTAAAGAATGAAAATTTTTGTTTCATATAATTCTTGAACTTGTACACATTCACTGAATATTGTACTGTACCACAAAGAACTTTGGAATAATTTTACTTTGTAAATACTGTACAATATGTGTAAAAGGTCAGCAAAGATGAAAATTCCACTGATGGAAAAACCTTGGCACAGTTTGGGGTACCAGCAGGGATGCCGATCTCCCACTCGCTCAAAGACACCCTGGGGTAATGGAATAAGTCCCTCATCTACATTCTTCAACACCCCACAATAGTATTTCAATGTCCTGAAGAAATTTCAATGTACAGGTACAGTATGTCTTCCCATGTAGACATTCAGTGTGCCCCCACACACACAAATATAAACATTTGCCCCTTCCCCTTTCTTACATTTTATTTTCTTTCATGGTACTGTACAGCTGTACTGTACTGTAATTTCATCGGGTGCAGCAGTCCCCTGTATGTTCTGTAGCCTCAAATTTTCAGGCCTTACCCTGTATTTTTGGGGGGGTTATATTTCCTACTCAACAACATCTAATAAATCTGGTGTAAAACATCCATCAGAGGACTGATCTTTCCATGTTCTTTTCATTCTACCTTATTTCATGTTTCTCTTCCTTTCAAAACAATGATAAGGTAATACTGTACATTACGGTACTAATTACGGCTGATTAAGTAAGGTTTATCTGCATGGTCCACTTCATAAATGGTTTTGAAGCCAATTTCTAACTTGCTACCCTATAGGATTTGCACTCTGAACACTAGCATAAATATATTAGCAGTTCTATAATACAGTAACACAAAACCTATACCACAACCATAAACATATACAGTGGGGTATCATATCATATTGGTTCCACCATTTTGATGGAATGGTCCAATAATTTCAGGTCCCCCTTGATCAAATCTCAGGGTAATCTGTGTTAAAGAAACATCATTTGGATCCATCTCCTACACCAGTGACACCTAAAACAATTTATCAAAAATCGATTGGAGACACAACAGTGTGAAACACAACAGTGCAAAGGTTCCCCTCATTGGCAGTGCTTCACACGCCCTCATCCCTCATATCCTGCAGCCAGCTGGTGGACGCTACCGCCAGGCAGGAAGCTCCAGACAGCTCTGACTCAGACTCCATCATCCGCAGCTGCTTCTTTATTATTCTAGTACTGTATACCTTAGTACCTTCTCAACGAACGCGCCCCAAACCAACCTTCTTATTTGCCGAGAACATCACAAATGGCTTAATGAACTCATTTGCAAGTTGTTGTATACCTAAAACTTATGTTATTATATATTTATTTAGCTTCTATAAAATCCCGAAAGGGGTATGGAAGTGTAATTGAATCCCTGAAACCACTAACCATTTGTAACGGTAACAAACCTAAGATAATAGGCAAGCCTAAAAAGTTGCATCAAGCCAGGTAAATGAATTCTCCATCATTGAGTGGGTGATAAATTTAGGAGAAAAAAAAATGCTGGCACAGTTATAATTAGTTCAGCTAAGTTGAATTTAATACAATTCAGTCGAAGATTACATAAGTGACAATAGCCAACGGTTGGGGAACAAATTAAGTGATAGCAGTGTTCCCAGATTTGGCGGTTTTTCGCTAAATTTGGATGCTTATATTCAGGTTTTGCAGGAAAATTTATATTTTGCGGGTTTGACGGTTTGGGGATCTTACTTAATCGAACTAATATTAGTATGGGCCTACTGCGGAGAGAGAGAGCACTGAATTGACAGGTGACCTCACACACCTGTGTTTAGTTAATGAAAGTTTCTGCTTCCTGTTTCAGAATCTTTTCATTGCATGAACCACAAATTTAAAGCAAGTCAATCAGATCCTGAGAAATTGTATGCTGAGCTGGTGAATTTTCAGCTATGGTCAATGAAAAAAATGTGAACCCCAACAGAATTGGGTCTAAAGCATTTTCAGAACAACTGGAGGGATAACTTGATGCACACTAATAATGAGTGCACCTATGGAGCTGACTTGGCTCAAGAAGTGTGCTCCTCACTGCCTGAATATAATAGGGCAGAAATGAGAGATAGGTGCACACTGTTCTTAGTGAAAGCTATTGAGCAGGTGGAGCTCAGGCTGCCAGAAAACTTTGAAATTCTTATTGCTGTATGTTCTTTCAGCCACAAATACCGTACCTGTACATGATTGTGATGAAGGTACATTCTCCAAGTTTTTTAACCAGCTTCAAGGCACGAAACCCTCAGAGATCTCAAGCCTGTAGATTCAATGGATGGCCAGAAGATTCTGCAGGTAATGAACCTACCAAATAACTCTCTTTGTGTGTTTAAGCCTTCTCTCGCTTCCTGTTTCAAATTCAGGGTAGAATGTGTGTTCAGCCAGGTAAATATTCTGAAGAATGATCTGCAAAGTCGTATGAGTCCAACTACTCTGGAAAACCTCCTTTATATTCAGTCGAAGTGAAAGTTGGCAATACAGTAAATGCTGCAAGAGTTGAAGCTTGACCAATTTAATTCTTCTGTCATATAGTTATGTATATGGTATATAGTTTGTCAGTATATAGTTCTAGTTATGTCTGGGTTATGAAAGCAGTCCTAAATGTGCAAAGATTTATGAGTTATAAAAAAGGCCCACATAAGCAAAGATTTGAGTTATGAACAGGTCTAAATGTGTGCACAGATTTGAGTTGTGAAAACAGGCATATGTGGCCTACTGCAGTTATCCTAGTTTCTTAAGTTTTTATATTAATACACGCATTTCAGAGCATGAACGGTTGTTTTAAGTCCCCCAAATTACAAACTTCTAGCTAGACAATACATATCACATGTTTTCATATGATAATCCATTATATATATATATATACATAATTAAAACAAATTATTATAATTACAAAATCAAGGCTCCTAACTACACATAAAATTTAGCGGGAAATTTGGTGAAGTTTTAGAACTGAATTAGCGGCCTTTTGGCTGGTTTTCTATTAGATTTTAGCGGGCTGGGAAAATTTGGTCTGGGAACACTGATTGATACAAAATTGGCGGAGAGAAATCAGATTTTTTTTTTTAGCTTAGCAGCATTAATACAACGATATCTATGGTTATGATCACTGCCGAGGTAGTGGATGGATCTGCGGTACTCATACCGACTTTGGCTATTATACAAAATATAGTTGATATCCAGGGCCGGATTAAGCTTAATAGGGGCCTGAGGCACAGATCAACTTGGGGCCCCCTACACTCAGGGCATTTATAAATAACAAGAACAAAATATACCCAAATTTATCAATGATTTCATCAATATTTAGCTTCTGCAAAATAACACATTTAATGTTCATAAGAGACCGAAAATTGAGACTTTGCTAGGACATCGTTGAACGAAGTTCATGTTTTATACGCTTCAACTTCGAGAATGTTTGGATTTGGGGGGCCCCTTAGAGTCGGGGGGGGGGGCTGAGGCCAGTGCCTCAAGTGCCTCATGGTTAATCCGGCACTGTTAATATCACACTGGAGCAAAAGTCACTTGTTTTCGGCACACACGAGGCGAGGCTAAAGATGACCGCCTAAGCCCTCCCACAGAACCTACATAAATCATGGTATTATTACATTATAATTGTGAGGAAAAATATACATTATGCTCTCTGTAGCACCCTCAATTCCCAAAGATATTCAAAAAAGGAAAAACGGTAAAATACAAGCTCGAGCGATCGTGCCCATGCTTCCAACCCCTTATAACTAAATTTTTATTCCACACCACTAAATTACAGCCAAGAATTTCAGGCAGAAGAATTTCACTGCTTTGATAAGATTATCTACATTTGTAATTACTTGATAATCGTGATATGAATAAAGTATTTAGGATTCGACGCTAAACAGGAAATGATGCCAAATAATCAAATTCACGCTACGGGGTAAATCTAACGTTATAAATCTTTTAATACACGAAGGAATGCATCCAACATTGATGTACAGTACTATACAGTATACAAACAATTGAGTTGGCTGTGATTATACACACGCACACTTACGTCTATTGTAGACGGTGTCAAGATTGTGAAGTAGTCAAATCTTCATCCAATAGTGTGGGCATAATTAATGGTACTGCATCAGATAGTTTAGTTAATGGCGTTCTCGGTGCTCTTGTATAAGGCTTTTTTCCATTTTCCTGCCACCTAATGAATGAAACATTGAATTAGGCGTCAGATATAAGAAGACAGGTAAACTCAGATGGGCTGCATTATTTTCTTTCACCATATTTTTTGCCGTTTGACAATTACATTATCACACCAACACTTAAACTTTATGAGACAAAACTCTCTTTGTAGCAGTTTTACTTGGACAACAACAGAACAATTCAAACGTGGTGGCGACTGAGGGGGGATTTCCAGAGAAAATCACGAAAAGCGTAATGCGTAAAATATTTTTTTTGGTTATGCGTTGTTTTCAAGGCAAAGAAAAATTATATGGCTGAAATAGCTACTTTGGGTGTGCAATAAATTAATAACAAGATGGCGACGCTCTTTTGAAAAATTAGAATAAATAATTGAGATAACAAGTAATAATAATAAAAGTTAATTACAGTATCTGAAAATAAGTGTCCGACCTGAATTTTTGGGTTTGCATATGCAATGGAATGCAATTTCTAAGCCTGCCTTTGCCCTACTTGTGCAATCATTTACCACAACCATTCACCACAGTGACAAAATATTAAAAAAAAAAGCTAAACACATAAGCACTATGAAGATCTGCATTTAGAGAACCAAACTAACTTAATGTAATCTAACCTATTCCCCGGATGCTCGAAACTAAAATAATACCAAAATCTGTGCATAATTACTTACGGTGCCACGGTGTGTCCACTCTGCCCACATTTCGAAAGTAAACAAATCGTGACGTCATTTGAAACGCTTCTAGAACAAAACTAATGTACCCATAGATCTCTTCCAGTGATCAGAGGAATTGATGCTGAGAGTCAATGTTTCAAAATGCAAAAGGATGCACCTTGTTTTCTTTGATTACGAAGAGACACACCAAGGACTGCAAATCAACTGAGATATCAAAAAAAAAAACACCAAACTTTGCCGTCCCTCAGGCACCTCACTTACCATTAATAATAATAATAATAATAATAATAATAATAATAATAATAATTCAGTAAAACTCATAGCTTTACAATTGGGTAGACTATGTAGCTGTATAGTTCAACATGAATACTGTACAGACAGTAAAGATAAACGGTGCACTTAGGCCGTGGGAGTATACACTTTCGTGTGTGCCTAGGCAATGCAACTATACAGCAATGGTAAACAGTAAGGCATTTTGACCAAGGATAGCCGACAAAGGTGTCTGGCTTTATTTCCAAGAACTTAGAAAGTTTATACTCTACTAGACACTAAGTTAACTTGCACAAAAATGTGGTTATGTTGTCTCATATTTTTTCAGACTGACTAGTATATGACAAAGTAATATAAAACAAATGAATAATTGAAACTAACTTAAGCACGAGTACTGTATCAGCCTCCCAGTGCCATTACTGTAGTGAGCGCTGTAAAAGGTCTGTTGCTCCCGTTCCCACTTTCTATGTTTGCAGTTTGTAAACAAAACGAGAGGCCTGTGATCAGTTCACTCGCGAAATACATCTCGAGGGTTCATCTTCCTGCTGAGGCGGCAATAGGTGGACCTTCACACATTCAATAAGAAAGTAATTCCGAGGAAGGTAAAACATACAAATAAATACTCGCAAATTGTTCATTCTTTGGCATATTTTGAACGTCACCTGCGCAGTGTCATCATAGAATCGGGAATTTCTAATGAACTTGATGTTGCGCCACCTTGTCACATAATGTGACTTTATTGAACTTGCATTGATTGATTTGCTACTCCAACGATAGTTACGATTCTGTTATGTGATAATGTGATTTTCCTGAAGGGTGTCAGGATTTTGTTCCGGTGTAAAAACCTACTTACTACAAGATTCCAATAAAGTGAGTCCACAAACATGGTTAGCATCTTGCATTAACTTTTGTTTGGGTTTTGTTACACAACGTTGGTTCATAGACTTAATACATGTGTTGCAGTATCATTGTCTGTGTGTTGTATTGCACAAGGTTCTCTCACCTGTTTCATTGCTGATACAGCAAGAGTATCAGATACAGTATGATTCTGAACAAGTTTACTTCATATAGCAAGGTAGTAAGGTAATATTTATATGTTTATATATGTTGATATGGGATAAAAGTTTACCCAGTGGTTATAATTTTAACCACTCAATGACCCACACCGCAATTTTTCTAGCATTTGTTCATATTAGTCAAAGCTGTTGAATGATGACACCATTACATGTCCTATAATTACTGAATTTGGTCACTTGTAAACATGGTGGCTGCAGACATAGACAATGCTTTTAAATTCTTTAAGGAAGTGAAATGTGCAATAGTAAAGTTTAAATGATCTCAGTTTATGACTCAATATACAAGAGAATCCAGAAGAATGGTTTGGTTTGGTTAGGTCAGGTTTGCAAGTACAGTTACTGAATTAAGTAATCTAGGACATGTAATGATATCATCAACCTTTACCAGTCAGAATGAATGATGGAAAAATTGCAGAAAAAGTAAAGGTTTGTCACAGAAATAATCACTGCCAAAAGTGTACAATACAAGGTAACACTTGGAAACATTATCAATGCATGGTATGTAATGCCTTAGTCCATACAGTATACTGATTGCGGTTGAAAGTGTTCAGTCTTTAGGTTAGATACAATTAAAATACCTTTGTATCACAGCATATGGCAAATTCATTCTTAAATCCCCAAAGAGTTTGTGTTGCTATTAAACTGTACAACTGTGCAGCATTTGGAATTTTACTGTACTGTGTTTGAAAACAAAGCACCAGTACTTGTGTTAGCTATACAGTACTATGTAATTATTATTCTTATTACTGTGTTTTATTTATGTGTAGTCCATTCTTAATTTTCCACTTTTATATTTGTGTATAGGTATTGTCTGTTTTAAAGTAGTTTTGGGATTTTCTTGTTTTCACAGCCACAATGCCCGAGGGTCCACATGTGGACATGAATGGTGGCAGCAGCGGCCAGCCACCACTTCGTCGTTGTGACAATCCTTGGAAACCCAATGCACAGCATGGCCAATCAGAGGTACACTAATGTTTGAGCTATGTAATGTAGTGCCATCTATAAAAACGTATCATCTTAGGGATACAGTACTGTATAAGCAAGATGAATACACTAATATCCTTACTTCCAAATATGAATTTAAGTCAATTATTTATATGATCAAGAATTGATTGGTAACATAATGTTCAGCTTTTGGAAAATTTACCTTAAGGATAGCCTTTTCAGGGTAAAATAGTAACTGTACTTTTGTTAGATAATCAAGTGGATGCATGTATTAATTAAATATATAGGTTTATAATGACATAATCTAAACTATTCATAAATGCCAATAATCTTTTGTAATTGAGATAGGGATTACTCTTTTTGTCTATCCTCAAAGAAGGAATTAAAGTTCAGTTAGGAGTGTCTATTGTAATATTTACTGTAGATAGTTAGTAATTTGGGAAATCAGTTTGATCTAAGAATCTTGTGATAAAAGCAGAATCAAAGTTTGTGTGATAATGCTAAAATGAAAGTTTCACGTGGCTACTCATAATAAAAATCATGTCCCATGCATCATAAATATTTACCTTTACTGTTTATGATTATACTTGTATTGTTGGTAACAGTATCCTGAAGAATACAATAGACGATACACTAATTTTGAGACCATTACACAGGTATACCGTCGGATGTTGGGCATCTTGAATCGGGTGACACAACAGTCTCTTGGTATATTTCTAGAACAGGCTCGAGAACTTCCACTCTCGGATCCCACACATTTACCTCATATACTCAGTCTACTTCTTGAAAAGGTTGGTATCAGTTATGTGGTATTATTTCTTTGTAAATATGCAGTTAGAACATATATACTGTGTATATATATATATATATATATATATATATATATATATATATATATATATATATATATATATATATATATATATATATATATATATATATATATATATATATATATATATATACAGTGGTCCCTCGGTTAACTAACACAATTCGTTCCAGAAGGTCATTCGTTAACCAAAACCATTGTTTCAATGGGATTTTGGGTAATTGGTTCCAGCTCACCGAAAATTACATACAAAGTAAAAAAAAATGCAGTAAAATAGACTTACTCTGAGGTGTGTATGTAGAAGGCTCCTGGTTGATGATAATGATGGGAATTAGAAGTGGGGGTGGAGGAGAAGGGAGAAGAGAAGGAAGTGGAAGTGGAAGGGAAATCACCCCATGCTTCATGCTGTCATTTCACCCATAAATTTTAAGTTCACTAGGTGTAATTCAAGATTATTTTCTTTAAATCAACACTGCACTGCACTATATATTGTCAATATGTTAAATAAATTTCAGAATGCCAAATAATTGTACTGTAAAAACGTAAAAATACTCTGTGTTCAAGAGACCCACAAGCAAGATGTTTCCTCCACTGAACAGAGATACAAACTGAGGCCTTGGTGGGTGAGTGAAGTGGCTGATGGGCACACCAAAAACTAGTTCCCTGTACTGTAATTATGTTAAATAAGTTTTAAAATTACTAAAAAAAATTAATATAAAACTTGGAAAATTATTGAATAGTACAACCTTCTTGATATTTACTCCAATTTTAATGAATGTAAGCCCTAGAACCGATTTCTGTATTGACGGACTAATCTTCCAGCTGGTGAGCAAGCGAAAGCATGTCGAAACATTTTCGTAAGAATTTCGTCAACCGAATTTTTGTTCGTTAACCGAAATGAAGATTCTTATATATATATATATATATATATATATATATATATATATATATATATATATATATATATATATATATATATATATATATATATATATATATATATATATATATATATATATATATATATTTTCTCTGGCAGGTTATTACAGTATTAACTCACCCCACAAAAGTTTGCCCTGGCAATTTTCTGAAATTATGGTTTCTTTAACCTGAGGCTGTGACCTCTAGTAGGGTGGGCATCTGCTGGTTCCAGGTATGAACACTTTACTGCAGGTATTCTAATCCCCCTGGGTACCTGTGCATAAGATTAAATCTATCTCCCACACAATGAATTTCTGGTAGAAAATGGTCCTTGCATATAACAAAATTTGCATACTGTACTGAACTGAACTGTTATATTGAGAAGATAATAAATAACTTTTATCAAATTAAAATACATAGCCTAAATGCCATAGTTATGAATTACAAGGGAGGTAAACCTAACCTGCCATATTAGCTAACCTACAATGGTGTCATTAAACACTAATACATATATAATGTTCTGTACATTACCCAAAACTGGTCTTAAATTAAATACCCTGTAATATCACTTGATATACAGAACGAATTCAGTCCCAATCCACTTTATAAAAATGGGATTTTACTGTATACAGTACTGTATATATTGTATACCGGGCGATTCTTAAATATGTGCAGTAAATTGCAGGGTGTATTCCTGGGATACTTCTAAGGCATAATGCCAATATGACAAAATGTTGGAATCCGCATAGTTTCCTAACTACAGCACTTGAACGAGATTCAAGTAATGACAGTGAGGTTGAAGTGAAACAGCCATATTTTTTTTGCATAATTTTACGCACATAACTACTTTTTTTTTATTTTTATTTTTTTTATTGGGCACCCCCCTACATCCTGTGCAAGGTGAAGCGCAGAAGCGCTTACAGCACCCATCCGGGAAGCATGCTAAGTTCATGCTTGCTTTTATGTCTCATGAGTTAAGGGCATAGAAGCCTGAAGGGTCATTGGTTTTTTGTCAAGGGTGTAGAAGCCTGAAGAGTCATAGGTTTTTGTCAGCAAGTTATTGGAAGCTCCAACAACTTTCCCTGAATACGAATTCGCAACTTTTCGATTTACAACAGGTACCTACTTTACTGCTAGGTGAACAGGGACCAAGGGGGACTAGGAAGTGTGTCCAAACAACTTTCCACCAGCCCGGGAATCGAACCCGTGTCATCTCGCTTGTGAGGCAAGAGCGGTACCGCTCTACCACTGGCGCCCCTACTCTACACATTATGATACAGTTGCATTATTACAGTCAATGTTCAAAATTCCCTCCCTCTACATCACATCATGATCAATTTTGTAATTTTTAATTCAAAATAATGAAATTAGAGAATAGTATAATGCAGTTTATTTTTTATTATCAGCATTAAATTCTATCTTTTGTAGTCCCAGGATGAACCAATGTTTGCACCAATATATGCACGTTTATGTCGGGATTTAGCGGCGAATGCTGGAATACAACGAGATCTCACAGCAGCCTGTGAATCTCATTTCATGGATAATTATCAACAAATACTTCACTACAGTGTTATCTTTGAGGTAAGGTTTAAATTGGCAATTTTATCCATATACTATTAAGGTCAATATCTTATAATGCTAACAGAACTAAGTACCCCACCAGCCACTCATAAATGAATCAGATTAGCCACTTCATATAAGTTAGGGAAAATTGTGTAATACTGTAATAGTATTTTCTTCTTCCAGGGACCTATAACTTCACAATTGATCCAGGAGGAAATTCTTGCCAGAAAAAGATTTATTGGCCATCTCAAGTAAGAGTTCTAAAATATGTACTACTGTATATGTATTTTGTTAATACTGTACTGTTATGATTTTAAACAATATTAATGATCCCTTTCTCACAGAAATCTCAAAATTACTTTGTTAATAAGGCACATATGTTTGAAAAACAATCCTGTGTATATTTTATGAATGAAATGTCCCAAATCTTAGAGCTGTGTTACATAAAATTAATGGAGATAATTTTCTGTGGAGATTTATGAGTGAGCTGCACAAAGTTGGGGTTGTCTCGGGCAATCAGCTGGCAGCAATGGCAGAAACTTTTCTTCAACATGGTGATGACCGCTCCTTTGAAGGTCTCTGTCGCCTCCTGTCCTTCTCTGCCCTGGGCTTAATTCGGTCTCATGAGGTTTGTTTATGAATTTGTTTTCAGTTTGCTTTTATTATGTGCAGGACTTAATAATAATGTACAGTAAACCCTCGCCAATTACAGCATTGAATTTCAAGTATCGGCAGATTAGTGTTGCGTCTTTATCCCTCTGTTGTCTAATGTGTTCCTCCGTAAATGTGAGGAATGAATAAATATAATACTGTACTGTACTAATAAATAATAGAAAAGGAAAATTGCTGCATTGCCATTTGGCAATCGTTTCACTAAGACACGGGTAACAGGAGCGCGCTCCCTCTTCTCACGATTGTTGGCTAACTCTCGTAACGTAAGAAATGTATATTCTCTTAATCTATTTTTTTTTTTTTTTTTTTACATTCTGTATGAACGATTGAATGTGCATGTAACAGTAAAAACAATAATAAAATTACATGCATCTACCTGAAACTACGAATTGAAAAAGAAAAATATGCTGCTCACAGCTTATCCTGGTAGGGAGAGGCTGAGATCCGACACCACACACACCCCTCCTGCTCCCTCCTCCCACGAACCAACACTAATTCCCGTGGACATAAAAATGTTTTTATTCTCTTTGCTTTGACCTTGTGATATTCATGTGTTTTATTTCTCACATTCTGTATGAATGATTGTGTGTGCATGTAACAGTAAAAAATGAGAATACAATTATTTATACAATATCTACCCAAAAATATGAGTTGAAAAATAACAATAACATGGTTTGGCCTGGTAGGGAGAGAGCTAAGGGATGTAGCTACAGGGACTGTCTAACTTGGCAACCTGCCAAGTCCACATATACAGACACACACACACGCTCTCCATTTTTCTTATTTTATAGCCATATGCCATCTCCACGGAGATTTACTGTAAAATTTATATAAAGCTATCTTCTATGTATTTGACTCAAATTTAATTAAATGTACAATACCGTACTGGTATTTTTTAGTGAAGGAACAGGCAACTTAGTTAAGTTTTAACGATGCATATCCGCGGCCATGGAACCTGACCCCCTATTTCCCATAAACCTTTAGTCTTGCCAGCCACAGGGTTTTTCAGGTGAGGGAATACTGTAGTGTACAATATATGTCCAATATGGGAGGTGGGGTCATGATATTTTCTTTTTTACACCAAATTTTTTTTTGGCTTAGCTCATTTTATTGTAGATTACAAAACATGCACTAATTTCAACAACAATATCATTAATTTATTAGCACACTACAAGATGCATAAGCATTAAGGAAATAGTGAGCTTATCACAAGCATAGAGTTCATACTGGGAGTTACTTATTGTAAATAAATAAAACTTTCTCTTTTCTGAGTGATAAACATTTATGTAATTCATTCTTCAGTGGTTTATGAAGTAGTATACAGTACAAGAAATAGTTAATTAACTACTTGTAGAGAGAGGTGTTGGTTGGATAAATGAAATCCACAGTTTACTTAGCAGATGTTCTTTAAAACAAATCTTTTATAAATTGATCATGGACCAGTAAGTTTAAATCACAGTACTGTATTCTTTTCATATTCAGTGACTATATGGTACTGTGTTAAAGAGGTGCAGCAGTGTTATGCTGTACAAGGAAATAGTCTACTTACATACCTGTACTGTATTTGTTTTCTATCCACCGAGTTTGACTCATGGAAACAAGCACCAGTCTTTTTTATAATAAGCCAATATCAGTTTCAGTAAATGTTTACCACAAAAAAATGGTTGCCAATTAAAGTGATAGGTGAATATATTGTATGTTGTACCAGATTGTAAGGTATTTTAAACTTTTAGTTTGGTAATGACATGAGTATTTTTTCTTCCCACAGGAACTAGTAAATCGGAGTTGCACCTATTTAGAAAACTGTCTTGCAAATGGTAGCCTAAATCCCAGACTACGATTTTTAACTCAAGACACCCTGGACCTTCGTGCTAACGGATGGAGACCTCGGGATGGTGATCGAATCCACCCTCCTCCGGGCAGGAATGTTCGAGGATAATTTTTTGAATTGGGGGTCGATCAACTCGCTGTGTATGTGTTAATTGTTGTCAAGTGTTACCTCCTGTATTGTAAGATATTTATTGTTGAGTGTCTCTTCATGTGTTTCACAGAGTCACCTTCCCCATAAACTCAGCTTCCAGTTGCATACCATATTCACCACCATTTTATCCTGGACATTTCCATGATACACAGTACATACCAAGAAGGGTATTGTGATTTTACACTGCCTCTACACTTTGTGTCATCTGATGGCCTGTGACAGCTTATGCCAATAGGACTAAACTTACTGTATTGTCTGTGCATAACATATAATGAGCTATGAAGTTGGTTCTATAAGTAATAGTATAGATATGGCATGGTTATGGATGCTTTTTTATTTTTTTTTATTTATTTACTTTGTCCTGCATGTATGTACAGTACAGTACTGTATTGGGAAAAGAACAGTTCAGAATCTCTCAATAAATTATGCCTCTTCTGTCAAAACTTTTAAGATGTAGGTTGTTAATCACCCTGTTTTAATATTCTTTTTACCATCTGTTATTCAATGCGCTAAGCTAAAGCAGCAGAAAAACCTGTAACGCTAAAAAAAAATCCTTTTAATTAATTTCTTATTAAAATATTCAAGCATCCAAAGTGGTATGATGTTACACAAAGTTTGTGAGAGCAAAAATATGGAATAGTTACCAGTATATTGATCTTAGTTTGAGCAAGAGAGGTTTATTACAGTATATAAATATTGATACAGTATATTTAAAATTTTGTAGAGCTTAATTATAGATACAGTATTTGAGTGCAAGGTCTGATACAGTATTTATTTTTCTGAATATCTTAATATCATAGATGACTTGTGTGCAGTAGTATTAACTGGGATGGTATTAATTTTAACCAATTTATTTTATAGATAGGCCATGTAATAATAGAATGGGTAAACTGAATATGATGCACAGTGAACGTTTTGAATTACCTCATAAACATACAGAATGTGCAAATGAATACAGTCAATTTAGATTTTTTCAAAGAAGTATCATTGAAAATATAGTATTAGAAATACTTAAGAATGATATTTTGGCCAAATAATAATGAAGTCGATACAATTTTAAGTTCTGTTCCTTGGGAATATATTCTTATACTGAATAATTAAAGCTACCAAATTAATCTAGATTAGACTAGAGTAAGTCACTGGCCCCCAACATTCATTCCAGTTGTATTTTGCTCTTTGAGACTTATCTGAGGGTTCTTACCCATTTCAAGTTTTGTGAATCACAAGTAATTATTTTGCACTTTCCCTAAAAATGACACAACAAAGTCACTACGATCATCAATTACAGTCAGTAAGCACAGTGATGTAATCGTATGTACAATAACAGGCAGTTATATGGCTTAAGAATGGAAAACGAACAAAATCACTTCTGATGCATGTGGGTGAGGGAGGGCTCAAGAAAGATTCAGGCAGCAGCACATGGATGCAGAGGACAATGAATGTGTTTCAGTGCATGGCAGCCACTCTGGGATGACAAATGAAGAGAAATATGTGCATGGAGATGCTAGGGAGCCATTTTCTTTTGATTTCTTGACATAATGATTTTTAAACCAAGATAGGTCAATCGTATAGAGAAAATATTAAATCATTAACTGAAGAATCTTCAGTCAAGAGTGTGTATCGAGGGATGCCTGTACTGATTATGTAATTTATTCATTGATAACAATTACAACACATTATATAATTTTTTTACGTTTACAGTTGATCCTCAGTACATGACTAGATTCGAACCAAAAATTACCATGAAATAATCAATCATGATATATTGTTCTATGCATTCCAGTACAAAATAAAAGGTACAGGACTGCAACCCCAAAATATACAAATAGAAGTCCTCTTATGACATGAATTTCACTCACAGCCAGCCCACCTTGATGACAGGCTGACTCGACACCACACCACTCATCTACACAGTTCACTCACAACACCTTAAATAAAAATTAAAAAAACAAATACGTTTAGTTCTTTTGCTCCTTCACTTAAGTACAGTAATAAAATTTTATATTCTTGCACTCGACTCTCCCTTGTTTCACATGACAACACATTCATCACCTCACAACACTTCACCCTTACTTCAGGATAGTGTTTCCCTTCAAAGCATGTTTTAACAAATAACTTACCTTGAGTTGCACTTGGTTTGAAAGTTATGGAGAATGGCGATGTCCACACGGCACAAAGGTTAGCCTTGGCTGAGTAGCACCTTAGAGACCTGTGCTGTCATCTATTGAGAGATGAGGGAAATTTAAGCTTTTCTTTGGATTATCCATGTGAAATTACATACAGTCTTAAACATTAAAAAATATACAGTAGACCCTTGCCATTCACGAGGGAAAGGTTCCAAGAAATGGTGCGAATTGGCAAAATCGCGAATAGCAACTTATACTACCTTACAGTGCACTACTGTATACCTATACCAAACAACTGACCAGCCGCAGCAGCACTCATCCCCTATTTTAACTTATCTAATAATAAAACTTTCTTTATCAGGGTCATCACTGACTTCTGCCTTGTACATTTCACTCCACTAGCATTGACACTAGGCAGTATTTTAGGGACCATTTCACACAGAAACACTAAAGTTTTGAGAGTACAACACAAGATGCTCCATGGCGAATTGCAAACTCGCAAATGGCAAGGGTCTAATGCATACAAATATATGATGAAATATTTAACAAACAGTCTTCCTTACACTATGCAGAGTTTACACTACAGCACTCAACATTATTTTTGTTTAATTTCTTTGTAAATATTTTATCTACCGGGTAATTACATTAATTTAACTCACCTCGACAGATGGGTGTGAATAATAATACTTCTGGTCATGGATCGTCCTACCTAAGAGTCGTTTGTAGGTACTGGATGGGTGAAGGCCTGTGCTGCCAGCTATTAAAACTCGGAGAAACTTTCACTTGCTGCTAGTTGATCTGTACTTGGAAATTTTTTAATTTTCTGAGTTTACAATGCTCAATAAAGAAAAATGGGAATAATTTAGTTTGCCATGAAACACCATAACGAAAGCGAAGTATTGATCTGTGAATAATGAGGATCTACTGTATTACTGTACTGTATTGTACTTACATAGACTGGTGTGGCTTGCCAGGAGGTTCCAGCTAGTTGCATTATTGTTGCATACAGTATATACAGTACAGTATTAGTTTTAGAAAATTTGTTTCAACAGAAATTGGAAAATAACCATTACATGGTTGTGTCTATCTCATGATTGATCTTTTGGAACACAAATCCTTGAAATTAGGAAATTGATCTATTCACTTTCGGCTTCTAGTCCTAACCATGTGCAAAATATTTTGCTTGTGATGCTTAAACTATGATACTGAACTGCCTCAGTACTGGCTCAGTACCCCCAAAGGAATATTGATACAACCTGTCACATTGAATATCAGCCTCTACATGCAGCTTACTGGGGTAAACTTTTAATTTGCATTTTGTTTATTACCTTTTTATTCAGTCCTTCTGAATTTTAGAAAATTAAAATTTAAGCCCAAAATGTTGAAAGTATCTTTTTCAATTTAAGTTTTATAATGAAGCCTATATAAAACCACTCAAGAGTCTGCATTGAAAAATATCTGTCTAACATGTAACAGAATTATTAATCTGTTTTATAATATACAGTAACATGTATTGGGTACTCTTCCCCGTGATACTTTCTTCATAGAATTCTATTTATGTCAAAAAATCTAGCAGTAAACCATTAGATAATGGGTCACTTCAAAAAGTATTCCATTAGAAAGGTCACCTGCAGGGTAAAGCATCACCCAAAAACCCTACATTATCATATTGATATCTTGGTTCCACTCATTTCTTCCATTTAGCTCAGATTCACCATCATAAATCAAGTCACCAACTTAGCACTTTACACCATTTTCATTTGATTCAGTACCTAGTTAAAATTTCCTGTCTGGGAAGCTTTTGGCTCTCAAATATGGAAGTTCACTGTGCTATGCTATATAACTGAAGCTCATTAGGATGCTGGACATGTGAAGGGAGGGGCTGGGAAGGGTATCTGCCCAGGTGATGTAAGAAACTGACACCCATTGGTTATAAGCACCAATTGGAATTGATAAGAATCACTATTGGATAACCTGTGCTAAGACTTGGTGTGGTTTGACAATATCTTGAGTGATGTCACTGAGTGAGACATTTAAAATGCGTATCAAGATATTGGACAAGTTAGAGCAAAACTGCATATTCAAACTATGTGAAGTGCAATACAATATCAGTACAGTACATATGTACAATACCTTGACAGTGTGACTTGATAAAGCAAATACAGGTACATACTGTACAGTATTTAGGGTTAGTGTAATACTTGTACAATAAGTCCTCCCTAAGTCGGACTACTGTATATGGGGTTCAAGGCTGTCCGACTAATGTAAAACCTCCCCACTTGGTTCTTTTAATCACCATTTTGCTATAAAATCCCTTCCAAAAATAATATTAATGTCAACAATACACATTTACACTGCACTTACTTTTATCAGCAGATGAATCTTGAGGTGGAGGACGATAGGGGGCTGCTACAATACGCACATTCACACTTATATTTACACTTCAACCCAAACTCCTCATCACAGATAACATTCATGGAGACCCCTGCTTCAATTCTCTCTCATATTTTCAGTTTCTTTTCAATTGGTAGAGTTCTGAGCACCATTCCTTTTCTCCCAGTGGTCCTCAGGGATGTTGTTTTACCTTTACTTGCTTTAGAGGCTATAAATATACACTTGGGAAGCACTAAATACAATTAAAAAAAAAACAATGCAAGGCAGAGCAGTGGTCACAAGAACAAACAAGTGGAAACTGGCTCTTCACCCAACTGCCACCCCACCGAACCCCCAAAAGTCAGAGCTTGTCCGACTTAGAGGGGTCTTACTGCACTTCAGTTTGGATCATGATAATGAGGAGCTATGAACGTATTCTCTTGTCCCTTTCTTTATCGTGGAGATTTTGCCATGGCCATGTGGAAAGGAGCCTTAATACAGTATAAAGTGAAGTGGTGTTTTATGCGTTCATTTCTTTCTTCAGGAATAAAAAATATATTCAGCAGTACAAAAATAAATTAAATTGAGGGATTCCAAAGTTTATTTGAAGTTAAGATTGTTTTCATATTTATTTTAGAAATCAGAATTCAGTATGGGGATTGCTCTCGTGGATAAATCACATGAGAAATTTGAATGTACTGTACAGATAATAGTTCCTATGTATTGTAGCGATGAGCCAGTACGGTACACATCTTGGCATATCTTAATGTTTAGGGGCTAGAATTCTGCACCTTAGTTGGCTGGTTCATAAAGGAATGCAGGGTCTTCCACATAGTGCTTGCCTGAGATATAAATGAGTTTTAGTTGGTGACGGTGCTGCAAGATGGAATATTATCAGAAAAGGCATAAGTCCTCCCAGATGCCCTTGAAGGGTGTGCATAGAGATGACACAAGTGTTGTTATACAGAACCACTGACTGACAGTAAAGAATAGGGAGACAATATCCTTCCAAATGATTTGTGCCAGAAATATTGATATGTTCATTATTGTTGACTGTTTTGATGACTTCTATCTGCACTGCACTGAGGAAATGATGTAACAATAACACCAAACCCAGTTCACAAATTACAGCAATTTTCCATCTGAGAGTGCACAAGGATTACAAAAATGGTTACTTTCTATTACTCAGTAAATCAAGGACTGGCTATGAACATGTGTCCAATATTCATTGAAGAAGTTTTGATTAGAGACTGATGAAACTTGTTATGGTAAGATATGAATTAAGGCTGATACCTGTACCTAAAATCTCAGTACAGTGTGGTGATGGTAGATTGGTGTTATAAAAATTTATATTAAATTTTGCAATATCATGCCTGTTACTAAATGTTATGAATTGTTATACTATCATTGAAGGAAACCTAATCCCACTTTTGTAAGTTATTATTATTTTAGCCATTCTTTGGGATCTCATTTGGATCGTTGGTTTAAATAGCAGTTAACTCTTTCTGGTATGCGTTCAGTTAAAGCCTGATAGTTGTACAATATATATTTGTAATTACAGCCATCATTGGAATGGCTTATCCCATTGACCTAGATCAAAATTAATAGTGTTCATCAACTGTGTATAAAAACCTTATACATTAAGTTTGATTGCAATGTTCCACATAGAACTTTTAGTTATAACTATATCCCTAAGCCAGAATGCAGTGGTCGAGCGGATACAGTGCTTGTCTCCCGTTCCATGGGTCAGAGGTTTGATCCCCTGGCATTCCCAGTTCACCCAGCTGTAAATGGGTACCTAAGTTTACAACTTGGGGATAGTGAATGCGGTTGAGTGCAGTACCGGCCATGCTGCCTCATTGTGTACCGAAGGCTTAGTTTACAGTGTGCTGTATCCACACTGTCCCTAATGGGCAGTCATGCCTATGGGACCCACTTTCTTTCATACAGTACCCCAAAACATTTGCAAGTAGGAGAAAAAGAATATTAGGTCATTATACATACCAGTACAGCTGCTCCCCGACTTACGACGGGGTTAGGGACCCATATCCAGGTCGTAAGTCAAAAATGCTTAAATAATACATAGAAAATCTAAAATGGGTGTCTCTTTTTCTTCTCAGTACCACAAAACTCTCACTTTTAAGCTTGCCAGCCATTTTAAAGTGAATTACAAACGAAAATGTTGTCAGTACACAGCGCAATCACTGACGTTGGGACTCGAAAATACGTAATTTGACAAAATTTTGGTACGACTGAGGCGGTCGTATGTCCGGGTGGTCGTAAGTCAAGTAGGTCGGAAATCCGGGAGTAGCTGTAGATGGTTTAAAAGATAGTGGTGAGATTATTCAAGTTTTGAAGTTAATGGTGAGGCTAAGATACAGGTAATGAAACATTTTACTTAAATAATCATAAACTTAGAGCTTGAGTTTCCTTGTTATCCATTGAGAATTGACTTTCATAAACTGTTTGAATTGATAAAGTATCATACCATGATTTTCAACATAATGCTGTAAAAATAGACTTTGCATGACATGGAGTCTACTGTATATTGAAGCTTGAACCAAGTTTCTACTGGGTGTACAGTAGAGGTTCACCACTTCATCTACTGCCACAAAGAGAGGATTGATGCTTTTATATGATTTTTTTAGTACTATTTATTTTTTAGGGGAATTAAGGAGGAATAATGACATGAACCAGACATGCCCTTCTACTTTTAACTCATTCTGTTGTTTGCAGACTTATGGCATGATACAAGTTTTTCCCTGACTCTAGTTTCGCAAGGGTCAAGAATGTGCAGAGAAAATATAAAGGTAAAAGTTTAAAAAAAATTTCCTTCTCAACTCTTTGCTCCAACATTCCATATAGCCTGCTTCAAATTTGATTTGATGTAGCATTTGCATTGAGAGGTTGAAACGTCAACAATCTATTGTATATAAATAACAGACAACCTTCAACTGGGACATGCCCTTATTCCTGTCTTATCACAAATGGGAATTTTGCAAACATCAATCCTTTCTTTATGCTCCCAAACTTTTTTCTGGGGAGTATGTAGTTGCCACTTTGTCGGTCTGTCCATAAGTCCTGTGTTTCATGTCTGGTCTATAATGTATAGCCACTGGAGGAATCTGTATGTAACTTCACATATATGTGGATCTTTGTGTACTATTGCAAATAAATTCAGGATAAAGTTAAAGGCCAAGGCTAAAAACCAACAGAGGAAAGAAGGGTTTATGTTTATATTTGGTCTTTCCTTCAGGGAGCATCAATTGGTTTCATAAACCCTGATTACCTCATTACCCTAGGAACTACCACCTGAACTTACTTGAAGCTTTTAATCAGAAAAATCAGGTTGTGATATGGTTACTGGTACTATAAAATTCTAATAAAATATATTATTAAATATATTAGAAGGTGGAAGCTAATAAAACTTACATAATTGCACAATACTGTATAACTGTGATCATTAGTTACCATCTTTAAGTGGAGAGGAAACACTCAAGTGTTCACTTAAAATATCTGTACAGGAACAGAACCCCAAACCTGGATTCAGAAAACCGGATATTTTCTTCACTTGGCAGGCGGGTAATCTTTGATTATCTGAGGGAATAGTAACCCTGCCTTGCCAGGTAAAAAGGCACTTGCAAGTCCTAAATATGATACACATACCCTGTTCTCACTGTAAAAGTGGGCTGGCAATAGAAAGGACATACAGAATACAGCTATAAAACTTGCTTCAAATTTATCTAATGTCATCAGATAACCACTGCTAAGCTACACAAATGAGAAAAATGGCCAAAAAATGGTGGTGATAAAGGATTAGGTTAGGCTTCTTTCACTGGGGTAAACCATGTTACCTTAGTTCCACCAGTAAACTACCGTACATAAAATTTTGCTTCCACGCACTCACATAATTTCAAATGATCATTTATGTTATTTAAAAAAAAATAAGAAGAAATAAGAAATAAATACCGTTCAAGCAGCTTCTCACCAGTCACGAGACTCTTCAAGAAATCAGCCAAGAAGAGTGCAAATGGTTCTGATAAGGAAACACCAAGTCTTCAAAATCTTGTGGCAGGACCATCAACCAGCACTGTGCCGTCATAGGATTGTATTACTGTACCTACAGAATCATGTGTAACAAAAAGCAACATTTGGCAACAGTTACCTTGAATCTTTTTTAATTTGACCTATGTAAACAAAATAATGATACAGTATTTTATTAATGCAAATAAAAATGAATAAAGATAATAATCAAGGTATTGGGCTATTTATTCAATTAGACAACAGTTATTAATGAACTCTTAATTTCCCAATGTCTCACAACTCCTGAGAAGCTGCTGGGACATAAACAAATCCAACAAACTCACTTTAAGAAATGTTAGGGAATTGTTTAGACTTATAGTGCGAGCAACACATGTGAAGGCTAAAAAAGTTTTGCTTACTTTAGCTTAGGTTGTGTTCAGTAATATAGCTTAAAATATACCATTTTTGTGCTTAAGGTAAAGTAAGCAAGCTTACTCTGGTGCTATGTAAGCCTACCTTGGGAACTCTCAACTTCTAAGAAGACTGTGGTTAACGTCCAGGTATAGTACCTGTATTTATTTATTTAAGGTATGCGTAGAACTATAATTTTGTTTTGTTATTTAACCCTCTCAGCCTCACTCAACGCCGTTGTGGTGTCGAACATAAAAGGTGAAAAAACTTACGCTCAGACTCGCGACGCCAACATCCAATGGCCTATATTTTCAAATAACTCAAAAACTATTCAGTGAAACTGACTGAACTTTGGATGTCATTTGACAGACGTCGTTTTCTTTGTGTGGGCCTTATCACCTTCCCCGAGACGATCTTGGTCATCGTGTGCATGGCAGCGCAGCATGAAGTCAGTGTCGCTCTGGCCATTAGAGTGAAAGGAGGGTGTGCCGCTTAGTCCTTTAATTATTCCATGAGTTTTGGTGTTATATTATTTTTCCTTGTACCACAATATTCTACATGCTTTGTTCTTTATTTTGGTATATAGTACTGTACATATTAATGAACACCATAATACAAGGAAAATGTGAATGGAAATCGAGATGTAACTAAACATTTCCCTACTTTTTCAACTTGTACTCGAAAAAAATGGCTTAAATTTAAAGAAATTTCAAATTTTTATGGTTTCATACAATTTTTCAGACAATTTTATTCTAGAAGTGACCCCATTACAATTAATAAAACAATTCCATGGCAGTGAAATGAGCCCTAAAAAAATAAAAGAAATATAATAAAATAAGTAAATAAATAAATAAATTTTTCAGCAAAAACCTCCA